TTCTTGTTGACAGATAAATTCCATTCTTTGCAATCACATTCCAGCTGATTAGGTTGCTTTTGTAGTCCAGGTATTGTGTTTGAAAACATTACTATAGCATCGGCAAACACAAGAAGAAATAACTTTATAGTTTCCGGGTGAAGTTGGATGCTAACATTTCTGCAGAATTGTTGAGCTAATTCATTGATAAAGAAGGAGAACAAAAAACGGACTTAAAATGCACCCTTGCTTAACGCCAATTGTGCTTTCAAATGTGTCAGACACAGTACCGTTATTTCGCACACAAACCTTTACATTCTGATACATACAGCACATTAACTTTCCAATTTTACTGCCAAGACCATGTGCTTTGAAACGTGACCATAATCTATTTCTGCTAACAGAATAAAAAGCTTTAGAGAAATCTACAAAATGCGTATAATGTACCACCCTTCTTTGCCAGGTACTTTTGTATTATTGTTTGCAATATAAATATATTATCAATTGTCGAGTATCCTTGCCTGAAACCAGATTGAGACTCAGTAATCTTTTCATAAGCATCAGCCCAGAATGCTAACCTTTTGTTAATGATATATATGAACACTTTGCTAAAAATGCTTGATAACACAAGCCTCTATAGTTATTTGTATCATTCACTGAACCCTGTTTATGGAGAGGGACGATTATACCAAGTGCCAAGTCCTCAGGAAAATATGATGTTTCCAGCATAATATTAAAAATCAACTCTAGATATGATACAATGATATCTGTAGAATGTTTAAAAAACTCTGATATAAGTTTGTCCTATCCAGCTGATTTACCATTTTTAAGATGAGAAATGCTTTCATCACTCGTAATCGGAGTCTCGAGGATGTCTCGTGATAATTCGATGTCATCATATGTTATATTGTCATCTTCAAATCCAGAAAAAGTCATCATCACTGTCATCATGAGCTGTAAATAACTTTTCAAAGTGATCATACCAATTTTCGATACAAATTTTATTATGAATATATGGAGCTTTTTAAGAGTTGACCAAAAGACTTTTGAATTATGAATGTTTTTCTCAAGAAGGTATTTTTTCATTTCATAATAATCAACTTTCTTTTTTCTACATGTTTCCTCATACTGATTCCGGATGCGTTGGTAATTTCCCAATGCAACCAAATTTTATTTCCTTCGAAATATATTTAAACATCTACATCTTTCATACAACTATCATATCACTGACGATGCGGTTTGTTAATGCAAACTTTTCTCTTCATATCTGATGCAGCCATACATAAGGTTTCAGTGATATATCTTACACTAGCATCGATGCCAACGAATGCTGTATTTACTGCCCTTTCAAGTAAATAACACTATCTTCATCTGATGTCAAATTATATCTTAAGTTATCAGCTCTATCGTGGACCCATGTAAATCTGAAAGATTCATTAATAATTTGATCAATTTTAATCTGTTTGAAACGTACGTCAATCCATTGTGAGTGGAAGATGTGATGACACTGCGGGTGAGCGTATGTCAAATCTACTGCATATATGAAACAATTCAGATGAACATATTATATAATCAACCACGCCCGCACCTTGATTCCCATAAAAGTGAAATCCCCTACACCCGCGTCTGATCCATATCTTCCATTCATAATATGGATGTTAAGAATACTGCACATATCTAACAAGCATTTACCAAACCTGTTTATAGTTGAATCTACCCAAAATCGTTTCATGTTAAAACTATCCAACAAGAACTCCCACCATTACCTTCCAAGTACTCAAGGATATCGTCTTCAACAAAATCAGGTAGTTTGCCAGTCCTAGAGTTGAAATCACCTCCGATGATAACATACACATTATCACATTTAGAAAGCATATGCAACAGATCGTCTTTTATAATGAGATGCCGTTTTTACATTGACGTAACGGGTTATTATACCAGGTAGAAGACTCCGGGTGAATATATTCACATGCATAAAATAGGTCTTTCTTTAGACCACATATTTCTTGATCTAGTAAAATAAATATACCACTATCACACACTTTGGTCCACTTTACAAGATGTGCTAAAGTGTCTGATTAATACTATTACTCCACCTGAGAGTCGTCCCTGGGTAGATATCCGCTCACCAACCTTTGTGTGTATAGTAAAATCACTGAATAAACCACCCAAATCTGTCTCCTTCAACCATGTTTCAGTCAGCCCGACAATATCAAATAAGTTAACAAAGGTGATACATTCACAATCGTCCACTTTGGATTCCAGAAATTAAATTTTATGGACCCAGTCAACAAAGGGGAAATTGTAGGTGAACCTGTTTGAAACACCCTACAATCATCTTTTCCCGGGCCACCCCCTATCTATTGTTTGTCTTCTCTCTCGTGCTGGGGCGGAGTGATCGAGGCCGAAAGTCAATTCTGTTTTCTTCACCCTGCCTCCGATTACCGTTGTTCCTGGTTCCACCATATTTTGGTCTAACATCACTATCCTGAACCTGTGCATGACTGTTTCGTCTCTCTGTGTCCCGTTTTGTGTCCTCGGCAATTTTTCCTCCTTTGAAGAAAAACCTTTTATTAGGCTTTTCAGCGCGTAATCTATTAAGTTCATGTCGTTGGTTATACGTACGTTAGGTTACTAGCAACACCGAATCTCATCTCTCTCAGTATTTTTATGACTGTCATGATCCCCTACTTTTTATGAAGAATGTGTGTCTAGAAAATGGTTTTGGGTAAAAGGGAATGTTTGTTGTACTGACTTTATAAAGTAATGCTATTTTATGTTCATAATGACGGGCATGAAATGATTTGTAATGCAGCGCTCTTGTGACCCCATTAACCATTTAAATTCCACAAATATAAAACGTCAACGCCAGTGAATAATCCGTCTCGATTATCTGTCGAAACATTGGGCGTAGAAGTAAAAAGGATGGTGAAAATATATGATGGGATCACTGGAAATGATTGACGACACCTGGGCCCACTTGCACAAAGCGATCTTAGCGCTAAGATGATCTTAACCCCCATACTTTAACATAGGCTTACGATAGTCTTATCGCTAAGATCGCTTTGTGCAAGTGGGCCCAGGTGTTCGCATAAGACATTGTATCTGTGACAGTTTTCACACAAATGACAGCACAACCAAGGATATATGCAAAATTAATCAGGACCCCAAGATCACAATAGTTTCTCCCTTCAGTGACTGGTGATGTATTGTTATGTGAAGTGATGTCGTTTTCTCGTTACATATCAGTTTTCAATATAAGCTCCGATAATCTAATTATTTACTGTCCTTCGATGACAGTCTAAATATATTTATTATTAATAAAATGTATAACTTTCTCTCCTCACGATATGGCTGAAATATTGCCGGTGTGACGTTATATTTTATCTCACTCACTCACTCCCACGTCACAACTTGTGAAGCAAGTCGAAGCCGTAAAAAGTCAACGCCAGAATAAATCTAAGGAACAATTTGGAGGTCAGACCTAGAGAATGCGAAATGCTTACATATTTTAAAATGAGGAACATTGCAGTTCAACATCAGTTCAACTATAACAGTCATGGATTCAACAGTATGCCCAGTGTGTGTTTTGGGGTCGTCGTCTGAAATACTATGCAGCTGTACACAGTTTTCCAGCTATAATCTGGCAGAATGTTGAAATTGGAACTGATGTAAATTGATAATCAAGCAACAGTACTACTACTCTAGACAAGAGGTGCGAGGAAGTGAATTGAAATGGGGGTTAATGTCGCATTCAAGGTCATTCCATTTATACAGCGACGTGTATGAACGTGTGTGCTTGTACTGGTACGGATTATGGCCATTTTATAGTGTTGTCCCGCTAATATACCATGCCACAGTTACACATGTGTACCAAACCCAGAGACATTACACTGAATCCCATCCGACTGTTTATCCCTTTAATGCCGAACGCCAGATAACAACATGTACCATCTTTTAACGTCTTTTGGTGTGACGCGGCCGGGGGATCGGACCAGTGACCTACCACACCCCCGAGAGACGGACGGAGGCAAGTACCGTCAGATTTGGCAAATGAAGGGGAACACTTGTTTTCAAACACAAAATGAATATGTATACTCTTGAGGTTTTAACTGCATGTATTGTGTAATATAAGATAGCTACGCGATAATTCACAAACAACAATGAAGAACGAAGCGTGGTATATTTTACAATAAACATTGTTCTGTCATGACGTTATTTCTGAAGATTCGGACATGCGCTCGCAACTTGATAACGTCGTAAATTGGACGACGTCACTTTTGAGAGGGATGTGTTTGGTGAGTTGTTCCCATAGATGTTGTGGGCAAAGTAAACGGAATGGCCGAAGATATGACAATCACTATTGGGAGAAAGAACACATACAGATAATCGACGTGAAAATTGTGAGAATATGCGGGAAAAACAAACTGACCTCCCCTGTTCTTAAATGGACATGTCCGACATGTCCGCGGTCGGATTCTATTAAGGGTGTCATCATTAATTAAATACGGGTAAATATGTTTGAAGCGTGTACCTTTTATTAACATCATATGCATTGTACGTTATGTTGAAATCGCATATAAGAAATAAACGACGAGTTGGAGTTGTTTATCGTACAATAAAACATTGCAGGGAGAATAAACTGCCCATGATGTACGATAAACAACTCCCATTCGTCGATTACTTCTTAAAATCTACTGTACAATAAAGTATGGTATATGCATATTTCAATTTCTTTATTCAACGTACTGAGGATGCCACAGGCCTATAGTACAATCATGATTACAGGAGCAATTGGTATATGCAACAAAGTAGGCCTCTGAAATAATTTTCAAATTTAAGCAATTTATACATTTGTGATTTTAAGATATTTCTACTTATTGTAAAGTGTTGAAGTTCAACTTCATATGCCAAATATATTAAGATAGTGTATCAAAGAGAGTGAATGAATATGCCAAGCAGTTCATCTTTGTCAGCCTACACGAGGAGACACTTCTTGGATCTTCTCTGTTTGTATCACTTCAAGCAATGTTCCCCTGTCTCATGTACCTCTCCGTGAACCTTCGACCGAATCTTACGAGATCAAACAGGTCCCAGACGACGAGAATGAGAATGGGAAACCAGAAGATGACAAGTGTCATCACTGCCAGAACCCGAGATGACACGCGGTGATCGACTGCAGACGTCTTGTCTCGGATGTGACGTGACAGGTTCGGCTTCTTGAGAGCAAGTAAACGGGCAATGGAGAGAGAGACGTCGCCGGTCGGACTGACTGCGCTTTTCTCCCACATCGAGATACACATGTTAAATGCTTTGGAGCTGATTATTCGATTTATCTGTGTGTCAACAGTATTGCCCTCACATCCCCTACTCTTACCATCATCGTTGTCATCGCTTCCATCGTTCTCTAAAGTATCATGTCCATTCCTGCTGTCAACACCTTCACCCGTCGCTGAACTATCGCCATCACCACCACTTTTCTCATCACTTTCTCCCGTCGCTGTATTATCGCCATCACCATCTGTGCTGTCAGCACCTTCACCCGTCCCTGTATTATCGCCAACACCACCACTGTTCTCATCACTTTCTCCCGTCGCTGAACTATCGTCACCACCACAACTGTTATCATCACTTCCTCCCGTCGCTGAACTATCGCCATCACCACCAGTGTTCTCATAAATCTTATCCGTCGCTGTACTATCGCTTCCACCACCACCACTGTTGTCATCACTTTCTCCCGTCGCTGTACTATCGCTACCACCACCACCACCACTGTTCTCATCACTTTCTCCCGTCGCTGTACTATCGCTACCACCACCAATGTCCTCATCACTTTCTCCCGTCGCTGAACTATCGCTACCACCACCACTGTCCTCATCTCTTTCTCCCGTCGCTGAACTATCGCTTCCACCACCACTATCCTCATCACTTTCTCCTGTCGCTGTACTATCGCTACCACCACCACTATTCTCATCACTTTCTCCTGTCGCTGTATTATCGCTACCACCACCACTATTCTCATCACTTTCTCCCGTCGCTGTACTATCGCTACCACCACCACTGTTCTCATCACTTTCTCCCGTCGCTGAACTATCGCCATCACCACCACTGTTCTCATCACTTTCTCCCGTCGCTGTACTATCGCTACCACCACCACTGTTCTCATCACTTTCTCCCGTCGCTGTATTATCGCTACCACCACCACTGTTCTCATCACTTTCTCCCGTCGCTGAACTATCGCCATCACCACCACTGTTCTCATCACTTTCTCCCGTCGCTGTACTATCGCTACCACCACCACTGTTCTCATCACTTTCTCCCGTCGCTGTACTATCGCTACCACCACCACTGTTCTCATCACTTTCTCCCGTCGCTGTACTATCGCTACCACCACCACTGTTCTCATCACTTTCTCCCGTCGCTGTATTATCGCTACCACCACCACTGTTCTCATCACTTTCTCCCGTCGCTGTACTATCGCTACCACCACCACTGTTCTCATCACTTTCTCCCGTCGCTGTATTATCGCTACCACCACCACTATTCTCATCACTTTCTCCCGTCGCTGTACTATCGCTACCACCACCACCACTGTTCTCATCACTTTCTCCCGTCGCTGAACTATCGCTACCACCACCAGTGTTCTCATTATTTTCTCCCGTCGCTGAACTATCGCCATCACCACCAGTGTTCTCATTATTTTCTCCCGTCGCTGAACTATCGCCATCACCACCAGTGTTCTCATCACTTTCTCCCGTCGCTGAACCATCGTCACCAACACCACTGTTGTCATCACTTTCCCTCGTTTCTCTGCTACCGACAGATCCGCTCTTTATTTCGCCTGTTGGATCAGTGTCGTCACCTCCTCGATCCCCATCTGGACTATTCTCGGCACAGTCACTCTCATTTTCAGGTTGACAACCGTGTGTGGTGACATACTGTCTTCCCTCTGAGCTAACTGGAGTATGTGAGACTGGGTCTGTATCTTCTTGTGACGACACGTCAACAGCTACAGTTAAAAGACAATTGCATGAATCGAGGTCTATCCCACAACCATATGCAGATTCTGAATCATTTTATCCATCCTCCTAATATAACACAAGTTGTTTGATCCTTTCACCGAATGGGTACGAATTCTAACATGTGAGACAAAGAGGTTAAAAAGTAATTGAAATACTAGTACAGGTTTAATGTATTGACTTTGTAAACTTACACTCGTATAATAACTCGTAATAACGATCGTCAAATGATATGTAATATTGGCACTGTTCTTGAGAAGGCAATCAGTAAGACATCGCATTTGAAATGATATAGCTTTCAAAGGAATCACAGCCCAACCAAGGATAAATGTTTAGTGTCAAATTTTGAATAAATTACATTCAGAAGACAGTAACTGCTTAACAAACATTTGGAGAGCAAGAAATTAAAATTTCGGGAAAAATGAGGCTTGTCTTGTTTTCAACAACGACAAAAGATTTCAGACTTTGAACATATTTTGATATATTCCGTAATGATCAACGACATGTCTTTTTTCAAGGACATCACATGTTAAAATACACTCATAATTATTGCGGTATGTTTCCGAAAAGAATTGGTCACGCCAACTAGCAGACTGCTTAGTCGCTGATGTATAGTTATGTACAGATTTTGTGTTGACGATTCAACAAGCTTTCTGTGAAAATATCAATATTACTGTTGACTTGTACCCGATTGTTTACAGGCCGTAGGCGTGTGACAGAAATACAGCTGTATGGCGACAGGCAACAAACACTTAGTTAATACTCTCTTATGCATATTGTGTGAGTGGCGGATGCTTCCCACAGAGCAGGTCATGCTTAACCTTTTCGCGCACACCGGGTGTCAGCACTGATTTACCGTTCAGGTGAAACGGGTTTAGTGTCGCGTTGAAGATTATTGTACTAAACAAGCGCTGTGCATGCATACATGTGTATGTGTGTGTGTGTGTGTGTGTCTGTGTGTGTGTGTATGTGTGTGTATGTGTGTGTGTGTGTGTGTATGTGTGTGTATGTATGTATGTATGTATGTGTGTGTGTGCGTGTATATGTGTGTGTGTGTGCGTGTATATATGTGTGTGTGTGTGTGTGTGTCTGTGTGTGTGTGTGTATGTGTGTGTATGTGTGTGAGTGTGTGTGTGTATGTGTATGTGTGTGTATGTATGTATGTATGTATGTATGTATGTGTGTGTGTGTGCGTGTATATGTGTGTGTGTGTGTGCGTGTATATGTGTGTGTGTGTGTGTGTGTGTGTGTGTGTGCCTGTTTTTACGAGTCCGCCCTAGTAGCCCACTGAGATACGTACCATGTGGCATGGATATCCCTCTCTGACACGCTTATAATCTTACAAAGAAAACTACAGTTTTTGAAACAAGCAGGTTTTTGGTTTCCGACAACGACAAAGAAAAGGAGCAACTGATACGAGGATTGCTTCAAACTTCAAAAACAGCACATCTCATTCCATTAACCTTTGTTCTTATCTCAATAGCATTAATATATGTTAATGCATATCCCTAATGGTCAATATGATTAAATGACAATTGCTTTTGGAAATTAACAGTATAACTCACCCTGTCTGTGCAAGATAACTGCGATAATGATAAGAACATCCTTGATCTTGGCCATAGCTCAGTGTCGTGGATATAAGGTCGTGTTATGAATATATCCAGTCTGTGATGCCATGCATACACCCACGAAGAAGAGCTTCTCTAAATGATGCATGTGTCATCAAATCGTAGATTCTTACCCATTACAAAGTGATTAAAGGTCAACATGACTTTATTTATGAAACCATATACAGATACAGGTATTTTCGATTGTGACACCATCTCAGGTATCAGCCAATGTTTCACATTGTGTTTAATGGGACCTAATGAGTTTAATCTACACCCAAATAAGCAATGTAAAAAAGTCAGCAAAATATGTTTCTCAGCGTACATAAATATGCAAAGGCAGTCACATCTAACTTCAGTGCTAATTAGCTTCTTACCCCCAGTACATCCTACAACAAAATTACCTGTTTGGGAATATCACAAACTTAAACCTTGTAACATGAAAACAATAGCAACTTTTTTTCTTCATCTGTGTTCGATTGAAGATGTGCAGTAAAAACATCATCAAATCTCGACATCGTTCTTGGTGAAAGTTAACGTTTGCATACAGTCGTGATGCATCCATTATTAAACAGTTGTAACGGAACTGTTATTTATCTATCATTAAAACCTGAAATGGGTTGTACTCCTAAAATATGTCTATATGTTCAAAAAGCCAATTAAATACAGGTCTTAAAAGTATGATAGTGTCACGGATTGTATTTGTACAGGTTACGATCCTCAGAACTGACACTATACATCACAATGTTTCTTCATTGAACTGAATCAACAGGCGTGTTCTGTATGTACTGTTTACCTCCAACATCTGTACTATGTGAAGAAGCGTGCTCATTGCTCACACGTTAAACACTTAGACAATTACACCAGGCGAATATTGACTTGAGGATACATACAGCCGTTCTGGAGTGAATAACTGTATACGTAAGCTGTTTTTAGATATTCCTGTTCATCGCTAGTAAGGGTCTTAATTATTTACTTCTCAAATTGAAACCTAACAAAGGGATATCACGAACAGACCATTATATTAGAAGTACATCAGTGAAATAGTGATTTCCACCTATCCCCTATATGAAATAGTTGAATTCCTAACCCTCACGAGATAGATGTCACTGCGAGTTGGTTTCACTGGTGACAGCAGAAAATGCATATTATATCAATCCATTTCCATAATCATAATAATAATAGCGACAAAATACTTCCATAACCACAAGAAATCTCTGTCAAAAGCAGAATCGATTGTACGATACCGAGTGTATCATGATCCCTGTGTTTATGAATCACTATGGTCGGTTGGTTGGTTGGTTGGTCGGTTGGTTGGTTGGCTGGTTGGTTAACGGCGCTCTCAGCAATATTAAAGCTATATGACGGCGGTCTGTAAATAATCGAGTCTGGACCAGACAATCCAGTGATTGACATCATGAGCATAGATCCACGTAATTGGGATCGATGACCGTGCATCAACCAAATCAGCGAGCCTGACCACCCGATCCCGCTAGTCGCCTTTTACGACAAGCATAGTCGCTTTTATCAGTAGGCATGGGTTGCTGAAGACCTATTCTACCCCGCAATCTTCACGTGCACGGGTCTATGAATCACTATGAAATAGTGATGATGACACCGCTGATTCTGCCTCACCGGTCACCCGTCACAAACACAGGCAAGTCAATTGTTACCTGACAAATAATACCAATGGAGCATATGGTACGAGTCAAAGAGGGAATGGCATCGGACGTTATTTTTGTCACTGATGCGCACAATTTGGAAAAGTTCCCCACATGTGTACCAGAACACTTTTCGAAAACTTTACTTAGGCAAAGAATGTTGTAACATGGATTAAACAACAGCCGAGAATATACAGACTTTCGACTATATCACGAGCATGTGTTATGAATCACAATCAAATAGTGATGCTACCAGTTGTTCGCGAAAAGATGAAAAATAAAACGTACGTCTTAATTTCAGAACGCGCTTATCCCCATCGCCACTATTGTACGTAGCTATTTTCTGCGATTCACATCTAGTTGAAACACTTTCATTGCAATTGAATAACATGACTGCACAACATAACATTACAAAACAAATATCACAGCAGGAAAATCACGCCATATCTAATCATGTTTGAGTTAGAAACATTAGTACATGTGTACCAGAAATAAAAGATAAATAGAATCATTCAATCACTTGACTGACATTATCAATCACATCTAGAATGTTGGCTTGTGTATTTGACTAACATACAGACCCGATCGCTGACAATTGATAAGAAACAATAGACCCCTGAAGTAAACGAGTCCGTCAGTGGAGCATTAATATCGAGAGCTATCAGTCACGATATATATTCATATTTCAGGTACTGATATGTATGGAGGAAACCTTGATATATTGTGTGATTTGAATCTGAAATTACATATACTGGAATTCTGCCAGACAGTTGTCGACAATATTACTTCTAGTTGACACATACTAATAAATCGCATTGCAATGACATGTTGCCTTTCATAATGTACTGTCAAATACATTAGTTTATGTTTCATGACCCCACATGTCAAAATCCATTCTTTGATTATAGAAGTGTACCGGTGTTTATGTGGACTGAAGATTGATATGGCTTTCTAGTAAAATACATGTACTCTATTTTTCAAATTTACAAATTCGAATACAGTCATTGTAACGTGTTGATGTTAGTTTTCTATGACATTTGTAGAAACGTAGTGAGGTGAAATAGGGTTTAACGTCGCGTCCCAGATTATTGCACTTATATAGCGACGTACATGTACGTGTGTGTGTTTGTGTGGCTGCTTGTACTAGTCCGGACTGATGCCGATTTATAGTGCTAGCTCACTGAGATACCATGCCGCAGTTTAACATGAATACCCCACTCAGACACAGTATACTGACCAGTCCTTGTCAGCCGAGCGCCAGACAGGGTAGCACCAAGTACCATCTTTTAACGTCTTTTGGTATGACGCGGTCGGGGATCGAACCCCGGACCTTCCGCTCTCCGGACGGACGCGCTACCACTAGGCCACGGAGTATAGAAACGTAAGAAAGGAACAACATTTGAAAAGGGACTTTCTCTTTGATGTCAATACACATTACAACGGAATCAATATTCCCGTATCCGCCTTATCAAATATTTTTCGATGTACACCCTCAAATGATTTTCAGAATGTAAAGCCACAGTCTAAATTTAGTTTAATTAATCATCATTGTTATAAGTTTTCAATTATCAATTATAAATATAACAGCTATTTCTCATCTCAGTATATACAGTGTATATATTCCCAATATTACACAACATTCTTGTCAACATATATTTCAACGTTACACCAACAAAACGCTTATGACAATTAACCTAACTTGATAAATAACTTTGCTATCATGTGATTGGCTACAATTCATATGTGTAACTTATGTGTAAATAGTTCAAGTTGTAAATTAACTAAATACAGTTTCTTTCCTTTAGTTACTGACACGATATTAAACATAACGTCCTCTTGATGTATTTCAAACATAGCCAAGGAGGAAATAGTACATGTAGTTGACAAGTTTTGTCGGTAGTTCAAATGTGTCTGTTGCGACAAAGATCGATCAGATCCCATATGACCAGACCTAGTATGGGCGTCCAGACAATAGCAAGAACCAGAGTTGCGACAATAGTCGCCGACGGTCTGACATCGGATGCAGACGTTTTCTCACGACGTTGTTTGGAGAGGTCTTCCTTATCGAGGCGCAGGCTGCGTATGGCGTTAAAAAGGGTAGATGTAGCCCCTACTGGTCTCGCACATCGGTCGTAACATGTTTGTAGTGCAGCTGTTATGGTCGCCGTGACTCCACCACTGACGTTGACGCGTCCTGGAACTGAAGTGCTGCTCCCAGTAGTGTTGGTGGTTGCAAAGGGATTGGTGACCATGGGTGCAATTGGTGTAGTTGTCGGCGTTGCTTTATCTCGAGTTGGTGTCGTTGGTGTCGTTGGTGTCGTTGGGGTTTTGTTGGAAGTAGATCTGATTGTAGTCGTCGAAACAGGGGCGATTGATGTTGTCGATGTTGAAGTTGTAGCCGTTGTAATTGTAGTAATCTGTGAGGGCGTGGTGTCAGTTATTGACGCAGAGTTGGTTGTACTGTCCGATGTGGATTTAGTTGCCGATGTCCTAGTGGTTCCTGACTTCGTCGCAGTCTTGGTGCCTGTTGGTGAAGCAGTCCCCACTGAAGAAAAAGTAAAATCATGAATTGTCAGCCGAATCACGAAATGTTCTGTAAAAACGACATAAATTAATAATGATATGCTCGTTGACAACATTTTTCCGTTTATCAACTAAAAACATGCACCACACACACGTGCTTTCACATAGTAAACAAAAGAAATTTAAATTAATCATACTTTTCATTGTGTATTTATGTTGTGTTTCGTGCCATCTAATCCAATCTTATTACCCCTTTATATTACATAGAACTTGCATCAAATGTGCATTGAAGTGAATCACAGCACACACAATCGATTCTCTCAATGACGTGCTGTGCAGAAATAAAACATGTGAGGATAGCGAGTTCCGTTCCAAATTCGGTTTAGCTCGATTAAATCTACAGTTAAGCTAGTTCTCTATCGAAAACGCAGAATGCCTATCTCACAATTGCAATTAGTCAGTTACCCAGCAGGCAATTTCCGTTACGTCGTTATGTTTACGTTGTCACAATATTATGATATTTGTCCTGACAAGGTTATTCTGTGGACATTGCCTACAAGGTTGTGACACGTCATTCATTTCCACGTTGGCACAACGTTATGGAAAAGATATAGTTGAGTTGTGGTAACATCAAATTTTACCTTGTTGTAATATTATCTTTGTCTTTTCGGGTACATTGAAGTGTGCGTTGTGGCAATGATTATTATCTTGTATAATGCACGGTTATTCTGTAGACTACCCTGGACGTCGTAACAACTATATGCACTGTTACGCGGTGACGTAATAATAACGTTGTGAAAACGTTTTACGAAGACGTCACCAATACACAACCCAAAAAATTTGAGAACATAGTGTATTAGCTTGGTAGCACCATACCTGCACTGTGTCAAAGATGTGATCTACCATGGCCTTCTATTCTATATAACTGCAATACTGTTCAAAACATTTAACATTTGTTAAATCCAGCTCACTCACTCACACACAATTTCTCCATGTATAATACAAGTATTGAGTGAAAACTTTTCTCCTTAACCTCTCCGTTGGAGAGAGCACATGATAGGAAAATGTACCAATTCCTTATGGGAGGCCCCGAATCTGTAAATAAGAACGCACCTCTACATACAGAACTGTACAGAGTTTTGTGAACGCTGTCGAGCTGGCTGAAACGATCAATGAAAATAACGTTGTCAGATGTCGGCGCTGACGCAATTGTTGCAAATATGTCTGTATAGTAAGTAATGGCCAGCACTATGATACGGACCCCACTGTCTTTCAGTTTCTTTGCTTCAACATATGTGTAGTCAACCTCCTCATTTGGTCCCCCATCAGCGATAAGGACAGCCACATTGGTAGCATTTTCTCTGTCACCTCCTTCCCGTGTGAAGACATCTGTCCCAATCAAGCGTAGTGCAGCTGCAACATTGGTACGTGTGTGATCATAGTATATTTTAGAAATTGCGTCAAGTATTTCCTCCCGTCTGTTGAACCGAGCCAGATTGAACTCTACCCTTGCTCGACTTCCAAATACCACTATGGCAAGTCGGACGGTGCCTTCATCAATTTCCAGTTTTCAAATCCCATACTGCCAGATGCATCCGCGATAAGTACGAGATCCATGAACGTTTGGTGACATTCTGCAAAGAAATAGATAACTGCTTTAGATTCAAAAGATCAAAGCACACAAGAGAGAGAGAGAGAGAGAGAGAGAGAGAGAGGAGAGAGAGAGAGAGAGAGAGAGAGAGAGGGAGAGAGAGAGAGAGAGCACAACAGGTATGTTTTTTTTGTAAGGCTGTTGAGCATAAGTACGCGCTGATGACTAAAAAATGTAAGTTCCATGGCATAATGATCATAATACATTGTCACTTGTATTTGAACATGTTCAGATCGGGCGATCTTTTACACCAATTCTATATACATCATTATTCCATTGACTCCTCATGTGTCACTGTTTTGTATGTAGGATATTATATTTCCTTTCTCCATGTGTAAAGTAAGTAGTTGACGTAGTGTGGTGCTTTTCTTTTCTTTTTTTGTAAACAAGAAATCCTAGAATTTCGATCTAATACAAAGGGCGGTGGGATAGCCTAGTGGTTAAAGCGTTCGCTCGTCACGCCGAAGACCCGGGTTAGATTCCCGACATGGGTACAATGTGTGAAGCCCATTTCTTGTGTCCCCGGCCGTGATATTCTTGAATATTGCTCACTTGATCTGAAACCGTAATGGAGTTCCACAATGGGATTGTCGATGGGTTAAATAGTTCACACGAATGTCTTAGTCTTATCAGAAGAACACCGATAAGGGATTTCGGGCATAAGACAGGTATTTATATAATCCAAATGATTCCATTTATCGTCCCAAATGAAAGCGGAATTTGGATCCCGATGTGCATTTTAGCGAGTACTTATTGATTACCAAGGCAAATATACTCTTCAAAAAAAGAAACGGAATACGGATATGTTCGGTCATAAAAGCAACTATTAGCTGACCAAGAGGTGCAAAATGAAGAGGTTTAATGTGTTGTAGTGTCAGTGACAATTTTCCCGGATCAAAATGATCAGATCAAGGACATGCAAACAATCAGTCGATAAACACGTGCGATTCGGAAAAACGCACCCAGTGCATTAACAAAAGAGCCATGGAGCTGCATGTACTGCACGTGCAGCAGCACTATGAACGGTATTAAAGTTCAGAGTTTTTGATTGCCTGGCATCTATGTCAATCGAACAGTGACAGTTCAACAACATGCCAAGATTAACAAACAAAGTGCAAAGAAACAACGTCCTTGTCCGCTTGCAGGCAGGATAATCTCGATCAGCTGTAGCCAGGGTTTTCAATGTAGCGCCAGCACCATCACAAGGCTATGGGGTCGGTTTCAACAGCATGGGTTCACAAGTGATCGGCCATGATCGTGACGACCAAGAGTAACCACCCTCGTCGAAGATCGCTATATCGTACAGGAAGTGGACCGGTTTGGTAGGAGTGGCGTTATGATGTAGGCGGCTATCTCTCATCATGGCAGGACAGGTTTGGTCCACATGCTGGGCAATCTTACGACTCAACGATACACCAACGAAATTCCCCTACCACTCGTCCTCCCAATTGCAGCCAACGGCAACGGTGTATTCCAGCAGGACAACGCTCGAGCGCATACAGCACGGATCACGTTGATGTTCTCCCCTGGCCCTCCAGATCCCCGGATTTGAACCCGACAAAGCACTTGTGGGATGAATTGGATAGACGGCTACGCCGAAGTCAACCACGACTCTGGACTTTGCAGCAGTTGGTTTTTGCATTGCAGGCCGAGTGGGCTACCATTCCCCAGGAACGCCACCTACATGTACATGCGTTTACTACTGCCAAACAGTCAGTTGGAACCCACCACAGACAGCGATGCATCAGCAGCACATCTCAAGTACTGACGCCAATATTTCGGAGGGGACACGGGTCGCCCGGTCGTCTAACGCGCTGCAATTCGCTGTGCAGAGTTGCGTCCCTTGGGTACGCCAGAAACCTATGTTTTTGGGTTGGAATCCTGGTTTGCCCCGGTAATGTATCTAGGTTTGTCAGCACCATACCCGTGCTCGTGGGTTTCACCGAAGTGGTAAACGTCTGAGGCCTGCATCACTTCGGGCTTTCCTCCCACATTAAGCTGACACGCCGTGATATAACTGGAATACTGTTAAAAGCGGCGTCAAATACAATTCTTTCACTCACTCAATATTTTTTCGATGTGCGTTTCTTTTGGAATTGAGTTTATGTTTTCTGAACAAGCAAGACCTTCTCACACCAACATGATAGACTGACCATTATCGCGCCAACGTATCAGTAAGAACCCAAAGGCTTCACTTGTCTCATTGTTATACAAGGTTTAAACAACAAATATGCGATGTTATCTGGACTCATCGCGTGTCATCTCCTTGTCAAAAGAACTGACAAGAAAGAGGAGGGTCATTTGATAACAAACTGTAAAGGCCACCGGGGGGATATCCAGAAGAAGGAGTGGTGAAATCGTGTAAGTGCATTCATGTGTTTACAACATTATATACTTAGGACAGTCGGTGGTTAGAACCAATATTTTTTTAACTGAGGTCGTATCGAAGTGAATCCATTGAAAAGGTATCCAAACCACTGTCAACTAGGTACTGCCATACGGACCTCTAATTTGTATTAATTTTAGAACTTTCCACGCACACTTCGGCCAGCTTAAATGTATACGCATGGATTTCATTTATCTTCTATTTTTGACTGGGTGTCTCATATTTACCATTCATGCAGGTTTCAGACGTTTACCACTTCGGTGAAACCCACGAGCACAGGTATGGTGCTGACAAACCTAGAAACATAATCGGGGCGAAGCGGGATTCGAAACCACAATCATGTGCCCAAGGGACGCAACTCTGCACAGAGAATCACGGCGCCTCGGACGACTGGGCCACCTATGCCCCCAAATTGGTCTTGAATAATAAGGACTCAATGATAGACAGTTAACAATCACTGAAACGTTTGATTTTGTCATAACTTCAAATGGTTATGAGGTAATTATTTTGGTGATTTTGACATCGTTTAGTGCTACTAAGAGCAGATATATCCGTAGCACATGGCATGATTTCCAAAAGGGGTCACGTGACTAGTCCCTTATGCATTATGGTTGGAAATTATGTTTGAACCCGGTTTGGACGTGCAGAGGATATATGAGAAGATTATAATCGATAGCTCAGATCAATTATTAGCTATCGATTATAATCTATACTGGGGGATGTCATGAAATGCGTGTCACATTTATTCCTTAAACCTCTAAACGGTATCATGTTGTACTGTCGCACGCTATATAGCACGAGTAACTGCTCACAAACTCCAATACATTCGCCACTTGCAGCTGGTGAAACTATTTGCGCCATCATGAAGGTGTCAGCCCTTGTGAGTGTCATTGGCTTAGTTATCACTGCGTCGGAAGCTCAATTTATAAACGTAAATTTAGCAGACGAACTGTCACAACAAATCAGCTCTGGAAATGTCCCCATGACCTCCATCGGAACTGACGGTGTTCCATCCTCCGCTGGAAGCCAGGCGGGGCAATCTTCAGGCACTTCTTCAGAACAAACTTCCTCCACGAATGGAAACAGTCCTCTTTCAGTTAAGTTTGGTCCCAGCAGCCGATTTAAGAATACTGTCTCGTTTAATTCACAGACAAAGAAACTTTCACGCAAACTGAAAGACATGATTGATCGCATGGATGATCTTGAAAATTATTTCAAGAACTCTGGTGTATACAGCCCTGAAAACAACACTATGGAGAGTACCAGCAATGAACAGCCATTCGGCACCGCTGCAGATTTTGTTGTACCTCGCGTAGCCACACGTGCATCGTCTCTTGCTGGTGGTATACCACAGATGAACCAGCGCATTGAGGATTTGAAAAAGGCCATTGCTGACTACAAAATATCTAATCCTGCTGTTGAAGTTACAACTAACGCTGGAGTCAATGAAGGTAAAAGTATTCGTTGTATTCTTTCGGTAAACGCAAAATGTCAATTGATATGAGAAAATTAGTGCAAATATTGCCATAATATTCATGTCATGATATGTTATTTTTTATTGTCTTTAAGGGGGCATGACAACAGACGCTGCCTTCACAGAGGGAACCAATACACGTAGGTTTACTCTTTATGTTGCCTGCAGAATTTAAATAACAAAAACTCGTTTTGAAAATCGGTTGAAGAATCATCTGTCTCTCTTGCTCTAGAATATTTCAAATATATACTGCTCTAAATTTTGTTACCTTATTGTGCGCCAGGGCTGACTTTGAGATCAATACACATAATAAGAATTGATAGCATTTGTTTTGCTAAAGTGAGGTATGTGTGTGTATAGTCAAATCTCTTTTGGGGAAGGAGTAAGGGGTCGCATTAATCCAATTGAAAATCAATAGTGAAGGCTTGTTCAACATCCAGGCAACATCTTGTATGTGAGAGCGTTGGGGTAGCCTTGTGGTTAAATCGTTCGCTCGTCACGCCGAAGACCTGGGTTTGTGTGAAGCCCATTTCTGGTGTCCCCCGCCGTGACAATGCTAGAATATTGCTAAAAACGGCGTAAAACAATACTCAGTCACATATATGTGACATGGGAATTGAATCTTCACATGTTTTGTGACACGGATAACTGCCTGACATCGATCATGCTTTGGATGAAGGTTTTGATGGTAGCCTTTTTATCTGAACCACTACTTTTGATCGAGCGTGTAACACGGTACGGGACGTTGGCGCACATCTTCATTTTACAGTTCTTTAAATGAGGCCAGTAATTGTAGTTGGCAATATCCTGTGTGACGACGGATGTTATCCTTTATTTATATCTAACTGAATCAATCCTACGCGTATGGGGTTCTACGAACCCAAGTGAGTCGACCATCAAAAGGAATTTGTTTGTTTGTGGGTAGCCCACACCATGACGCAGCTACCAATAATATACCAGTCGTTCTGTGGTATGGAACACTGCTGGTACGCCCCAAAACACGACTCTTCTCTGAACATGGTGTGACACCAATGAAGTACCTCCATTCTTAAACGTTTGTGATCAATCGTCATCTGGGAGACGACTGCAGCATTCAATATCATGATCGCCTTTTGACAACAGATTCGCATATGGGTCATGACCTTATCTCAGCTCTTATGGTTTGTGATGATCTGAATTTATTAAACTTATCTGATGGCCTTCACAGTTTGTTGTTTAAATTTACCACGACCATGGCGTATTTTAAGATCACCCGTTCACATTCTCAGTGTCACCCAACCTAATAATGAATATCGCTTGATGTTTGTCCTACCGTCTCGCTGTGATGACGATTGTTACAAACAAAAGCGACAAAGACATTTTGTAGTAGGGCACAACATGCTTACCCTTGTGCGAATTCCTGGTGTCGGCATTAATTTTCATTGATCCATTCAAATCATTTTCCCTGCTATTTTGCCTTTTACGCCCAATGGAATCTGTTTTCGGATCACCGATATTGTTGCATTGGTGGCAGAATCATGCGAGCATGCTTTACACAAGTATTTCACTTGAATACGCTGCTTTTTCGGTACCTTCTACATGGAGAATTCCTTGCAGGTATCAGTAAAGGTTAACACTACACGAACTGTTCCTCATCCCTCAGCATGGGATCTCTATATAATCCTTTATTAGATCCCTTATCCGATCCCTATCTCTATTTTCTACTACTACCACGACTACTACTACAGTAGACAAGGGTAAGAACAGGGGCTACACTAGACTACCTCTACAGTAGAAAAGGGTAAGAACAGGGGCCACTCAACAAGCACAATGGACTTCCACTACAGTAGACGTGGGTAAGAACAGGGGTCACACTAGACTACCACTACAGTAGACAAGGGTAAGAACAGGGGCAACACTGGACTACTACTACAGTAGACAAGGGTAAGAACAGGGCCACACTGGACTACCACTACAGTAGACAAGGGCAAGAACAGGGGCCACACTAGACTACCACTACAGTAGACAAGGGTAAGAACAGGGGCCACACTGGACTACCACTACAGTAGACAAGGGTAAGAACAGGGCCACACTGGACTACCACTACAGTAGACAAGGGCAAGAACAGGGGCCACACTAGACTACCACTACAGTAGACAGGGGTAAGAACAGGGGCCACACTGGACTACCTCTACATTAGACAGGGGTAAGAACAGGGGCCACACTAGACTACCACTACAGTAGACAAGGGTAAGAACAGGGGCCACACTGGACTACCACTACAGTAGACAAGGGTAAGAACAGGGGCCACACTAGACTACCACTACAGTAGACAAGGGTAAGAACAGGGGCCACACTGGACTACCAATACAGTAGACAGGGGCAAGAACAGGGGCCACACTAGACTACCACTACAGTAGACAGGGGTAAGAACAGGGGCCACACTAGACTACCACTACAGTAGACAGGGGTAAGAACAGGGGCCACACTAGACTACCACTACAGTAGACAAGGGTAAGAACAGGGGCCACACTAGACTACCACTACAGTAGACAGGGGTAAGAACAGGGGCCACACTAGACTACCTCTACAGTAGAAAAGGGTAAGAACAGGGAAATAATAATTATTATTTACATATTAAAATAAAAATGTAGCAAAGAGGATTTGGGTGATCCTGGCACAGTCAGCCTGGTTAGGCTCATCATCAGCCCAGGGCCCTTGCCCCCTCTACACGCAGTCCAGACAGCGAATGGGACTTCCCCCAGAAAGCTCTGCCTAGTCAAACCAACCCAGATTGTCAGAAGGGCTGTATTCCTGGTAGCAAACCCGGGTACTCTCCCAATGTCAGTCAACCGATAGGGAGGTACCAAACCTAAGACACCGAGAACAATGGGGAGTCAGACAACTTAGTACTTGGGATGCAAGCCTGACATTTCGAAAGCGAGGTATATTTGCCATGTTTTTCCTGTATCTTGTCATTTACATTGGTGTCAAAAGGGACCAAAAATTCAATGATTTCATAGGATTTATCAAAAAGGACAAGATCAGGTTTGTTGGCATGGATACATCTGGGGCTGTAAACGGGCCTATTCCAAAATAAATTGTATTTATCAATTTCCATGACGCCCTCTACATATTCCGGGTCGTACCATGGATGGACCTCTGTGTCAAAACCACAAGCATGGCAAAGGCGGTAATAAAATCATCAAGCCACTCCATCATGTCGCTTAGGATACTATATTTGTGCCAAAGCTGCAGCTGGGCATCTACTGACAATGTGTTGGACAGTCTCATTAAATTCATTACAATTCATCTACATTTCATTATCGTAATCTTTATTATTGTTAAATGCATATTAAAATATCCATTTATATTTCAATGTATCATATCAAAATGCAATTTGTATTTTGGCAGAGTTCACCGATCGTATCTTCTCTGGTTACTTTGACGATGACAACCTGTACGACATTTCTGGCATGGCCGTGAGTATGTCTCACGATGGCATTATATACGCCGCAAACGACAAGTCCTCTTCCAGAAACCTCAACGATGTCTATGTGGTTAATGCCACCAACGGTAAAGTGCTCAACACGATAGAAGTAAAAGGCGCCACAAACCATGACTGGGAAGACATGGCAGTTGCTCGCTGTAGTGCAACATCTAAATCAAATTGCATCTACATTGGGGACATTGGAAAAGGTTATAACGGCCGTAATTCCAACAAAATCTACAAGATTGTTGAGCCAGATGACCCCGTTCACATCAGTTCTGTAGATATTGAAGAAACCATTTCCTTTAGGTAAGTAAACGAAACAAGTTGTAAACTACCATTATAAAGTAAGTGTGATATCTGATTTTGACCCCTATATTATTATGCTATTCGGGGCGGTGGGGTTGAACAATGGTTAAAGCGCCGAAGGTCCGGGTTCGTTTCCTCACATGGGCACAATTGGTGAAGCCAATTTCTGGTGTAACCCGCTGTGATTGTGCTGGAGTATTGCTAACAACAGCGTAAAACATACTCACTTATTTACAAACTCATTTCGACATTGAATCGAATATTAGTTACTGCTTCATGGTATACAATAGTCAACATTTGTACAAAACCACCATACCAAACCATAAAGCGGATGAATCGAGGTTGGGGGCAATTGATAAGGTGACGTTTTAGGTTATTCTGGTTTTGTCGTTATTGATAATCCTTATTCGTATCCAAATATTCAAGTCAAATGTCCACTCACATATATTATTGTTGCTGTAGTGGCATCAGTCAGGACATGGAAACCTTAATGGTGAGCCCAGACCTCAAGATATACGTCATACCTGAAGATGATGATGAAGTTACTCTCTATAAGATTGAAAATGGTAGGGCCATGGAAATGTGTCAGATTAGTCTCGAATCAGAGTATGAGGCCCCAACAAGTGGCGACATTGCATCCTGCGGGACGAAGGTACTCCTGAAAGCCGTCGATTACGTGTACTTCTACTACGTGCCAGATGGAAACTATGAAGCCGCATTATGTGACCCGAATCCAAAGGTCCACCGCCTTCAATACACAGCAGAGAGGAATGGCCAGGTGGTCGCCTTCAAACCAGGGGGCCTGTCGTATTACACCTGTACAGAAGAGGAGTATTCTCCACTATGGAGATATGACTTGCTCAAGGTCAACGAGGTGTGATTTCTCCAACGAGTGTTGGAAAATGTAATACGACCATTAAACTGTAAGTTGAGTGCCTTTGTTGTCAATTTTTTCCCATGGATCAACAACATGTTGCTTATAGACTGTTTATCTTTGTCATGATATTGGGCTGGTGACATTAAATACTCTTAAAAATATTAGGGGGTAGTCGGAAACAATTAAAATAATAAACGAATTAGGAACACATTACAACCGGTAGTGAAGTTTGACAGTAAGTGTTATAACCACCAACGCCTTAAAGAACGATAGAGGAAAGAATGGAATGGATGTTTTTGGATCAGTAGTGCGTAATACCGCCCCGATTTGTCAAACAGTCATTCACTCGACGGGACATACTGCGTATGAGTCTTACAATGGCGATTTGAGGGAGTCCCACTCCTCGAGCAGAGCCTCTCCATGTTCAGACAATATGGTCGGCGGCCTATGATGTTGACGCAGACGTCTCCCTATCGTGTCCCAGATATGTTCGTACACGAGCACGGGCATTGGGTGTCACTGTGTTGTCCCTATTATAAAGTCCAGTGTTCCTTCTTTGCACAACATGGATATGGGTTGGGTCAGTCATAGTGATGTCACCCACACCATAACCGACCCTCCGCCAAATCTGTCATGATATCTTAGGTTGACATTGGCTTGACGTTCATTTCAACTAGTGCGACGTTTCGGTGTAGATCCTAACACCTTTATCAAGCAATAAAGAAGTTGTTCATCCATAGAACTTGTCTTTCTTCATCACACCAACTTCTAAATGCCACTGAAAGATGTTCATTTCAACGTCGCTAAGCACGACCACGCCTATCAAGGAAGTACAAAAGGAATCGGAACTTATCTGTAAACATGACAGTTCACCAGCCACAATTACCCAATTGCAAATTTCGACGTTGTGTAAAACATTGACGACTGTTGGTCTCATGGAAGGGGCGGCAAATCACGTGGCTGTCGAGCATATAGACGCATATGAGCTGCATGTAGATGTGTTCTATTCGTCTGACCCGTAATACGCACACCAGTAGCCAGTTAAAAATTTGCAGCAATTGATTCGCCGTTTGAGTCCGTTTTCGAATCGATCTATCCTGTACTCTTATCGTTGAGTCGGGGTGGCCTGAACGCGGTCGATCGTCAACATTTTAGGTTTGGTGGTACCTGTTCCATATTGTGATAATCAGAGACTGTGAAACATTGATGAACGTAGAGGATATAGAAACATTGGCCACTACTCGCTGACTTTTGCCAGTTTACATTGCAGACGTCGCATCGCTTCTTCACACACAAACAATAGTTGAAATCAAGTAAATCACAACTGTAAGATAAGCATAATCAATATGATTGACATGCAAAATATGCACAGAGATTATCGACCTTTCTTGGAAGTGGTGACACCTGCTTCTACCTACATTTCTACTTCTACTTTCATTCATATATCTTATCCTTACTTTCCACTGTTACCTCTTCTTCAACCTATAATTCTACCTGGGTAGAGAGGTGACCTTGTGGTTAAAGCGTTCACTCATCACGCTGAAGGCATCGGTTCAATTCCCTATATGGGTTCAATGTGTGAAACCCATTTGCAGAGTCCTTCTTTCTCTACCTCTTCTCCGACCTTTACTTCTTCTTCCTCTACCTCTTCTTCTACCTTTACCTCTTCCTCTTCCCTTTCCTCTTCTTCTTCCTCCACCTCTTATACTTCCTCTACCTCTTCTTCTTTCTCTACCTCTTCTGCTTTCTCCACCTCTTCTTATTCATCCTCTTCTTCTACCTCTTCTTCTTCTACCTCTGCCTCTATCTCTGCCATTATCTCTTCTTCTGCGTTAACCATTTCTGCTTCCTCCACCTCTTATTCTTCCTCTACGTCATCTTCTTTCTCTACCTCTTCTTCCTTCCCCACCTTTTCTTCTTTCTCTACCTCTTCTTTTCCTCTCCCTCTTCTTCTACCTTTACATCTCCTACCCCTATTTCTTCTTCAACGATTACCGCTTCTTTTTCCTCTGCCTCTTATTCTTCAGCTACCTCTTATTCCTCCTCCTCTTCTTCTACCATTACCTCTTCTTCTAACAGTCCTTCTTCCACCTCTTATTTTTCCTCTGCCTCTTATTCTTCCTCCTCTTCTTCTACCTCTTCCTCTGCGTATACCTCTTCTTTTTCCTTCATCTCTTCTTCCTCCTCCTCTTCCTTCCTACCTCTCCTTCTTCCTGTTTTTCTTCCTCTACCCTTTCTTCTTCCTCCACTTCATCTTCTACTTGAACGTCTTCCTCGACGTTTACCATGTCTACTCCTTCCTTCTCTTGTTCTTCCTCTACCTCTTCGTCTTCCCGTACTTATTTTTCCACTTCTTCTACGTTTATTTCTGCGTAGTCCTCTTTTTTTACTTCTACCTCTTCTTCGTCTATCTCTTCTTCTAACTCTACCTCTTCTTTTTCTTCCTCTTTTTCATCTTTTTCTTCTACCTATTTTACGTTTTCCTCTTTTTTACCTTAATCTCTTCACTTTCATCTACCTCCTCTTCTACTTCTATACCATCTTCTGCCTCTACATCATCTTCTACTTCAACCTATTTTTCCTCTACCTTTCCTACGTTACCTCTTCTTTACTTTTACATCTTCTTTACTTTTACATCTTCTTCTACCTCTATCTCTTCTTCTACCTCTACTTCTTCTTCCTCCTCTACCTCTTCTACTTTTACCCCTTCTCCTTCTTCTACCTGTATCTGTTCTTCTACTTCTATCTGTTTTTCTACTTCAAACCCGCTGATTTGAGTCGATTTATCATAGCCGTGACAGACGCTTGAGTCAAAGGGTTGTCTCCTGAGCATGCGGGGCACGTCGTCATCTTCGAGTGCTGACGTCACACGTGGCCGTCAGGAATTTGGTTGGCCAAATACCTCATAAATTGTTCAATGCGTCTGTGCCAATCTGCTGAATTATCATAACCGAGCTGAAAACCAATAGCTTTGTAGGACATGCCCGCATTAATAATGGCTATCATTCGTCATCAGATAATCTTCTGACCATGTTGAACAACTACAGCACAGAATTATTTGAAATTGTACTTGGATTTAGCGTCGACGTTTCCACGAGAGGCTTGTTGCAACGTGCACGTGCTTGAGGTTGCGTTTTTACTTATTACATTGACGGTCGAACTTTGTTCCAGTTGTATATTTCTAATGTCTTTTCACTAATTTTCTTTGTAAATTATTCTGTGTACTTTGATACACTAAGGAGGAAATGGAATTTGGGTTCACGCCACACCCAAACGACTTCCGTTTCCACACATTGCGTGCAAATGGAATCGGGAAACCAAAAACGAAAATACGTCACGCCGTTGTTCTTTCATACAAGGTCAGCGAATCGACGCTATACGTTTCTGTTTATGACAAACATCGTCTCTTATTACAATTGTTTTGAAACATCGTATATGATTGTGTTGAAATTCCCAGAATTACCAGGAAAATGCCATAGGACGGATCGGACATTACCGTGAATCTCAGTGATGATCAGTGAAACAATGTATCATTGGCAAGAAGCACAAGTGTTTAATCCTCATACCTGGTTAAGATTGACAAACATCTCACTCGCTCACTTATTTTTTTGTTTGATTAACGCCATACTCCGGCCTGGATTTAACTGGAAGTGGAAGTGGCAAACCGGTGATTGATATCATGAACGACATCCCACACCATCGGGGATACGATGGCACACAGTCATTCAAGTCACCCCCTCATGTAATAAACAGTTACATTGTCCTGAGATTGGAGGCCACGGGTGACACAATCGTCTAAGACATCGCAAATTGCTGTTTAGAGTTGCGTCCCTTGGGCACGCCCGAATCCTTCGATTGTGGGTTCGAATCAAGGTTCGCCCCGATTATGGTTCTAGGTTTGAGCACCATACCCGTGCTCGTGGGTTTCACCAAGGTGGTGAACTACTGAGACCTGCATCACTTCGGGCTTTCCTTCCACATCAAGCTGACACGCCGTGATGTAACTGGAATATCTTTCCAAGCTCATTCAATCACTCACGCAACTGTCCAGTGCGAATGGGTGGGAAACAGTTGTATTGGAACAGCAGTAGTATACATTTACCGTTCACTATGACTACTGCAAGTTTAAACCAAAGATCCGGGTTAGAATTAATCTTCAGCAACCCATGCTCGTCGTTAGAGGCGATTGATGGGGTCGGTGGTCATGTCAGCTGACTTGGTTGATGCAAATTATCGCATACAAATTATGTATATAGATGCTCATGATGTTACTCACTGGATTTGCAGGCCCTAATTCGATTACCTACCGCATTCAAATTGCTAAAATACTGCTGAGGGCGGCGAAAACAACATCCAGCAAATCAACTAAAGGATTTACGGCAACCATATGACTCTGTTTTGCGGAGCGGGGGCAACACATAATATGACAAAAAGTGCCAAAAATGAGGTCCGAAAGACGTGCGTAAGAAGAATATTTCTTTTTCTGTTAGTGGCGTCACGTTAGCGTTAAAAAACGTAACATACTATACTCGGGACAATACTTGTTCTTTAGCATTTAGTCGATGTAGCGTCTATGTCATAACGTAAGCATAGTCGTTGTTGAAATCAAAACATATCCATATGATACCGCGCTCGATATTAAATATTTTACGAAGATAATTATGCTGGAATGTAATTGTGGACCATGCTTTCAAAAACAGACTCAAGCATGTCGGGGCACACAAACCACACTCAAAACTGAAAAATCCTGGAACAGAATATGCCACTGCTTATACGAGGGGGCACGAGTGGCCCAGTCGTCTCAGGCGCCGCGATTCGCTGTGCAGAGTTGCGTCCCTTGGGCACGCCAGAAACCTATGATTGTGGGTTCGAATCCCGGTTCGCCCCGATTATGTTTCTAGGTTTGTCAGCACCATACCCGTGCTCGTGGGTTTCACCGAAGTGGTAAACGTCTTAGACCTGCATCACTTCGGGCTTTCCTCCCACATTAAGCTGGCACGCCGTGATATAACTGGAATACTGTTAAAAGCGGCGTTAAACCCAACTCACTCACTCA